AAGCCCCAGGGTCCAAAAGCATACATCGATGACAAAGCGAGTTATGTCAGAAGCAAGCAGGCAGAGGAAGAGCAGGCAGGCAGGTAGGCAGGAAGGAATCTGGAGAGGGTGGCGGGCGAGCTGGTCATGTGGACAACATGGCTGCAGTAACCGCGACGATGGGGTCGCACTCCAGTTTTGACGAGGAAGCTACAAACACCGCACACGAAGGACGGTAACACCACGTTTTTATCCCCGTGCAACCCATAGCAAAAACTCTCCATCCAGCTGGCAGCTAAACAAACACAGCTATGGGAAATGCGCCGTCCGTGAATGCTACTGATTAAATGACAACCAGCCGCGGGAAATGTCTAAACAAGATCAGGCGGGATTGCTGAGAACAAAGGAAGCGGCGTGACTGCGCGGATACGGCACGCGACGCAGCCGTCCTCAAACGCCACATTATTCAGAAACGGCACAAACATTTGCACCATATCAATGCTGCCTGTTCTCCAGGCAGCCGGGGAAAACTTTTACAGAAGCAAAACATCAGAATTGAGCTCCCCATCCTCTCAGGTCACCTGACTTCACATCATAAAGTTCTATGCGTGTTCTCTGTACCTCAGCAAAAAGAGCCATAAGCTCATTTTTATAGTTTTTAAGATCTTTGTTTGGCCAACAAAGATACAATTATATTGTGGACAGGTTCCCACCTAGTACAAAGGATGAGAAGAATATTCTGCATTTTCACAGTCTGGATCGTTCATGACCCAGTAAACCTGACAGAACTAACGCTGATCATGCGGCCATGTCCTCATGCGGACAGAGTTCTGGATCATCCAAACGTTCCTTCAGACCAAGCCGGGTCCCGTTTCCAAACGCCCCCGCCCACACAAAGACGTCACACGGTGAAGTCACCTGTCACAGCTTCGCGACCAACACTGTCAGGAGGAAATTTCGCAAACAAACCGTTCACGGCTGACTAGCCCAGTGCTGGCTAGAGGCACAGAAAGAGACCAAGAGGACAAACAAACAAAGGAACAATACGAATTAATAAGCTTTCGTTTGGCGGGTTTCGAAATATGCTTCCTGGTCGATTCGGACCTCACACATAAACCGCCCGGCCAATCAGACACACATCTGACCATTAACTGGAAAGGCAGAGATGTGTATGTTACTGGGGGTCGCTGCCAAGAAGGGCTACAGCCAGAACCCCCCAAAGGAGCAGAGTCCAAACGGGCAACCATCCGCTCACCAAGGAAGCCCCTGCCGAAAAGCCAAAAGCACCAAAAACACGACTCCGGGAAAATATCACAGCAAACAGGCAAAGTGCGCGCCCACGCACGCCACAGGACAGAGCGCATATACCCCCCCCCCCCCCGCGGGAGATTTCCCCGGGAAGGATGCAGAGCAGCGGTTACGGAGTCCTGTGAGACGCAGTTTACATTCCCGAGGAGCAGTGAGCAGAGCCCCCAGGGGGACGATGACTCCTTATGAAACAGCAGGGGAGCAGCGTCACTGCCGAGGTCCAGGACGGCGAACTCGCAAACCCCCCCCCCCAAAAAAAAGCACAGCGCCGGCACCTGATGGGCACATTCTCCAAGTTCACATGTAGCCCCTCTGGCTGCAGGATGGGGGTCGTGACTGGGAAATAAGGCTCGATTAGAGGCCACAGAGAATATCACAGCTGAGTGTTGGGTTTTAATCCCATGTAGTGCCGGCAAGGGGACAGGAGAGAAGCCTGATAAAGCATCACAGAGGAGGGAAACTGAAGACAGCTAGCTTGGGTTCCAGACACGCACAGATCTCAGCTGCGTCCGAGAAGGAGGGCCTTCAGTGCAACCCCCTCCTCAAGCCAGGTGGTCCCCCTAGCCCCAATAATAAAGTAAACACGACAGCAGAGCTAACACAAAGGTCCTCTCACTTCTTTGGAAAATAAAACAGCTGCTGTACTATGGGGACAAAGCAAGGTTCCTAGGAACAGTTCTGTTTGCCTCGAAGTTCTACTCGCTGAGGCAGATTTAAACAGTGCTGTTGTTTAACTAGCTGACATGCACCTCCAAAATGGAGAGGAGGGGAATGGAATGGATTGGCATGGAAAGGAATGTAGCAAAACGGAATGGAAGGGAATGAGATGAGTTCCTAGGCTAGGCTACAGATTCACTGCAACCCTGTTCTGAATAAGACAGATGGACAGATGGATGGATGGAACACAATGAAGGGTGGTGCGGGCGAGACACTGACGCGGGGGGACTGGGAGGGTAAGATATTGACACAGGTGGGACTGGGCACATTAGCCTGACGCAGGGGTTGGGCCTGATATGAGTGACAGGAGGGGGCGGGTAAGACATTAGGGCATCAGGTAATGCATTAAAGGGGCTTCAGAAAAGTAAGGAAAACAGCTGAGAATGTAGTTACAGCTAATAGGAGACAGAGCTGCTGACTGTCTGCAGTGTGCAGCAGCAGCTGCTGAAGATGGGAAGATGGAGCAGACCTGAAGCTCACTCAGCAACCACGGAGCGCGGACAGAGTCTGCGGGCTGCGGGGGGAACAGCGCAACATCTGATGAGAGCCCCCCAACTTCAACGGGTGTCTCATACAGAGAGACAAACATCACGGCACCCCATAATACTACAGGGTGACGACCAGCAATTATGGGCCTTGATGCAGCCAAGGCATGACAGTACAAGGCAACACAGACTCTGGAAATAATTAATATCGGGGACTCAAAATGTCAGGTCAAACGGTGGTGAACAAAGGAGCCGCATGAGGAGGTGGGAGGGAATCTTAGAGATGTGGGAAACCACGTATTATTATTAAAAAGCGTCTGTGCTTCAGGCTTACAGAGAATCACAGCAACAGGAGGGCCGCAGAGGTAGACAGGAAGAGCGGGGCCATGGGGAGGATCAGGCCTGGGGACAGGAATAACATACACCGGCCAGGCCTACTGAGTGCTCGTGCATACACACACACACACACACACACACA